TCCCATGAAGGGAAATGGCTTCTGCATCTCCGCTCCCAGTTAGCAAGAGAAATTCAATCTTACAGTTATGTTTTTAATGCAGTGTAGACGGTTTCAAAGTTATTCTGGAACGGAGTAGTTATAATGTTACCGTGATCTTTTGAAGGTTGTGCATTTTTTTCTGAAAATGGTCGGCTGTTATTTGTTGTACTGAATGCAGATACACAGAGTCTGTTTCCTTAATATACCAGCAAATCATCCTGGCAGTAAGTTTGCCTCCGCAGCCCCATTAGGCAAAATAGCGCGCCATAACCAAAACTAAACTTGAAAGGGCGGAAGCAACTGGTTTTTAACCAGTATTACTTTAGTATCAGTGAGATAATATTAAAGTTTTTATTAATATTTTTTATTTGTTTAATTTGTTTAATCTTTATATTTTCCATTTTAATTTTAGTTCAAGTTTTAGTATTTTTAGTTGTGTTTTTGTTAAGTATTTTTTTTAAATGCCTATATAGTATTTATAAATCTTTATTTCAGTTTTAGTTTTAGTTATTTTAGTTCATTGCATTAATCAAAAGGAAAATAAGAAACGATGGCCTGGCAACTAGCTAAAATTAAACATGTTTAAGCTTTATTTTATTTTATTTTATTTTGTATTTTTTTCAGTCAATGTTTTTATGGTTTTAGCTATAATAACTCTGTTTTCAAAATGTATAATAATAAGATGAAATGCTTCTTGAGCAGCAATAAAAATTCTATTTTAAAATTATTTTAAAACATATTGCGATAGAAAACATTTTAAATTGTAATAATATTTCACAATATTACTGTTTTTACTGTATTTCTGATCAAGTAAATCACTCATTTTGTATACTTTGTTCCCCATTTATCACTCTTCTGAAACATTATGAAGATTCTGAAGATCTGAAGATTTTTACTTTTATTTTTTTATTTTTTTTATGTGGCTATCTACTCTGACACCTTTTTTGTGTCCATGCTCAGATTTTCCAACCAGATTTCAGTCTGTTCCTCACACAGTTATCCTATGCCTTCACAAGACTTTCATAGTTGTTTCTGGAGCTCGACAGACGTGGTCACAGTGAGCTGTTGTTGTACAGAAAAGAGCTTTGTAGAGATTCCTCCAAAACTCTCCTTTTGTGAGAGAAAGCCGTACAGGTTTGGAACGGCATGAGTGTGAAAACTCCTCTTTTAAACTCTGTGCGTCTTATCTTCTCCTGTCTGTGTTCCCCAGGCTTTTCTTGCGAGAAGCTTGCATTCCCCCCACAGGAATAAGCTCCATTAAACTTTATAGGCTGCAGGCTTTGCTTTAGTTAAAACGTGTGACTAAATGTAAATATGTGCTTTGTATCGGGAGCCAGGAGGCTGTTAAGGCGTGCACAATTAGCTCAGAAAATGCACTGCATAAATTGACTTAAAGAACAGCAAAATGCTCTGGAAACGCTTACAACTTTACGCTAATGAGATCCATGAGAGTGCTGTTTTACTTGATGAAATGCTGTCATTGTGAGGCTCGGTCTGATGTGATTGATGTGTTTGACCGCAGGTACGTCAGTAATGAAGGTTATGGCCTCAGACGCTGATGATCCGACCTATGGAAGCAGTGCTCGGATAGTTTACAGCGTCCTGGAAGGAGAACTATTCTTTACTGTTGACCAACAAACAGGTAAGCTCATAAATGAGTTCTTTACACTGTCATTTCCTATTGGAAACCCATATTTATTGATGTCATGAATTGGATACTTATTTTATTGGTGAATTTGCACCCAAACATCATGGTGAAAAGTTTTGTGCAATGTTTTCCACTCACTTTGTTCAGAAATTTGTACAAATTGACTTTTTAGTTTTAGGGATTTTTCAGACTTGAGTCTTTTTAGTTTAAATTTACTACTGGTTGTTTCTTGTTGCTTTTTATACACTGCACTATAGTTTAGTGTTGGTTATGTTTGTAAGTGCCACAGCTCTTAGTAAAAAAAAAAAAAAACCCTTTGAACAATTTATCAAAAAATGGGCAACAAATTGCTGTTGAATTAAATTTGTAGTAAGCAGAAATATAGAATGCAAAAGTATGAAGTAAAAATCTAATTTGTTTTCTCAGTGGATAAACTGATTTATAGTTTAAGCGATTTGCAGTATGACATTTGCAAGTGATTTCAATGTCATATTTCAAAAACTGTGTAATAGCCCAATTCCCCGTGAAGTTTTTTTTTTTTTATTTTTTTTTATAAGAAAATATTAAGAAAAGTTTGTGGTTGGTTGAGTTTTTATTATTATTATTATTTTTTTAAATAAAGTATATGTTAATACTCTTGTCATCAAGGCTGCATTTATTTGATCAAAAATACAGTAAAAACAGTAACATTGTGAAATATTATTGCTATTTAAAATATTAGTTTTCTATGTGAATATATAGTAAAATGAAATTCCCTTTCATGGGAACTTCGAACTGCGTCCTCTAGGGGTCGCTATGGGGAACGCCTCGTCGTGACCCGTGTCTGAAGCATACATTGAAAAAACACCAACTCGTTGGCCGGCGACACTATTTATACTATATACTATTATAGAATGTATTAATATTTTGAATTAGCTTTTTGTATCTTTCATTTTAGTTTACGTTTTAGTATTTTTTACGTGCTTTTTTATTTTATTAGTTTAAGCTTTGTTCATATTTCTGTTCAGCTTTAATTTATTTTTTATTTCTGTTTTTATTTCAGTACTTCAATTTAAACTCATTTTATTTCAATTAGCAACATTTCTAAGTTTTTTTTTTTTTTTTTTTAGTCCTGGTTTTTCATCTAATATTTTTATTTTTGTTTTATTTCAGCTTCATTTCAATAAAAAAAAAAAAAAAACTTTTTAATAGTTTGGTTTGGGTTAAAATGCAGATGTTTAATTGTTACGAATCTCAAAAAGGAGCTTCACATCAGTTGCTTGTTCACACAGTGTGCGGATGGACTATTTCAGTCCCAAACGCTGTTGGTGTGAACGCAGCTTATGTGAAATTGGTGAACTGCTTGCCTACTAAGTCTCATGGCATTTATCATTTCAAATGAGTAATACGATCTCCTATATTTATATTCATATCAGAGTGCTAATTGGTAACCATGGCAGGAAGAACATGTATAAGTATTTTTTTCTAGGCAGCACTTGAATTGCATAATAGTTTCTTTGAATTGAAGTAAATTCTGAAACCATAAGAAGAACTATAAGTGACTTCAGACATGTGATGCTGCTCGTGTGACCTTTAAACACCCCTCCGTCTCTCTCTTCTTTCTTCATCTTCAGGAGTGATCCGGACGGCCGTGGCGGATCTGGATCGTGAGACGCAGGACCGCTATGAGCTGGTTGTCAAGGCAACAGATATGGCAGGTCAAATGGGCGGCCTCTCCGGTTCCACCACAGTGACTATAGTGATCACGGATGTTAATGACAACCCTCCACGCTTCCCTCAGAGTGAGTGTGCTTTATGTCAGCCGTCAGTCAGCTGCATGCCGTCAGATGTGACCTTTGGCTTGAACGCTGTCAACAGAACAGCCATCTGTCCGATTCTTGAGCACATCCTCATTACAAATTGTGATTTCCAGGCAATAAAGGTTAATAATTGAGTAACTCTTTTCAATAAGGTCTCATTTGTTAACATTGGACTGGGAGCGGGACCCCCCTCGGTCCATTCACGATCGAGTTCCGAGGGGGGGGGGGCATTCGCCGCGGGGCCCGGTGAACCAGTTGCACCCCCCTATTTATATACTATTGTAGCATTTATTGATATTTTGAACTAGCTTTTTGAATTTTCAACTTTTATTTTAATTTTAGTTTAGTGTTATGCTTTTGTTATTTTTAAGTTTGTGCATTTAAAATAAATAAATAAATAAATAAGTGAATGTATTAATAGCATTATGATGAATATTGTATTCAGCTTTAATTTATTCTTATTTCAGTTTTGGTCATTTTAGTTCTTCAACTTAAAGGGGTCATAGGATACTACATGCACTTTTACAAGTTGTTTGAACTGAAATGTGTGTTGGCAGTGTGTGTACACAACCACCCTATAATGATAAAAATCCACCCAGTGGTTTTTTGTTAATCTACTAAAATCTTTTACCCTTTCTCAAATCGAGCCGATCTCAGATGCCTGTCTGTGTGACGTCACACATACAGGCCCCTCCCACGATAGTTTGATTGACAGTAGCGTTTCAGCACAGACTGGACTGGTGTCTTACCTTAGCTCCGCCCTGAGTGAGCTGTCATCAGTCCGCCATTGTTTCACCGCTGGAGCAGATGTAGACAAGAATGACTCCTAAGCGATTGAGGTGTTCTGTTGTTGGATGTAATAATGAACATAGCAGTCGTCATTTACTCCCGACATCTGAGCCGCTGAACTCACAGTGGATTACATTGTTTCTGAAGGGAATGCGCCCCCGATCTACATAAATGCGCCTATGTTCACGCGAATCATTCATGATCCAGCCTCATCTAGAAGAAGTGAGTATAATGTTTTGTAATGAATCTTTTCAAATCGCCTTTCCTAATAATGTGATAATTAGCAAGTTTCACGATGAATGCTGCTAAAGTAAACCGTCTCTCTGAGAGCGGCTCGGAAAGAAAGGGGCGGGGTCAGCAGAGCTCATTAACATTTAAAGGAAAATGCTACAAAAACGACTTGATCTGAAAAGTGCTGTTTTTTGACAGGGTAAAAAAGTGTTTTTTTACACGACCATTGAGAAATGTTAACCAAACTATGTTACAGACTTTTCATTAAGACCCCATTTATTAGTGTTTTGAATAATCTTTTTTCTTTTTATATTTTTATTTTAATTTTAGATATGTTTTAGTAATTTTGCTATGTGCTTGTCATTTTTTTATTTTTTATATTTTTATTTATTTTATAAATACATGTATTTATTTATTTCAGTTTTAGTATGTTTAGTACTTGAAATTCAACTTTATTTCAGTTAATAGTCAAGGAAACAATTCTAATTTTTGCTTACATTTTTTTTTGTATTTTTAAGTTTCTCATATAATAATTATATTTTATTTAATGTCATCTTTATTTCAATCAATGAAAAGTAGAGCTCTCTCTGTACACCTGAAGAGGCAACCTTGATAAAATTCTTGTAATTATTAATATTTTAAATGATTTGTTTAAGTGCTCAAAAGACTTTAAATTCCAGATCGTAAAATATGTCAATTTTGCACTGACATCCTGAAATGCTTGAACAGCACAGCTCTGTCTGAGACGACTAATGCGGTGGAATCATTGAACAGCTCCAGCTATAAACTAATAAAGCACAGATTTGGTCCCTGCTAAGAGAGAATGCAACACAAGCCAGACACTACTTCAAAATCTAAACAACTAGAACAAACTAATAGAGTTTTGTATTGCAGAGGTGACACATGCCGGCTATGAGATGGATGTTTCCATTTGCATTTGCTGTTGAACATTCATCTACATTTTAGAGTCTCATCTAAAGAGAAAAAAGTGGTTAACTGATTGGTATTTGTGTTTTTCCAGTCTCGATTGGATGCTCGATTGCTATATCCAGTACTCACACTCTGTATTGATAGGTCTATAAGCCTGACACTGATGCTTATTGTTTTAAAGCAGTAGTTCACCCAAAAAACGAAAATTGGCTGAAAATGTGCTCACCCTCAGGTCATCCAAGATTAGGATGAGTTTGTTTATTCATCATATTTGGAGAAATGTAGCACTGTATCACTTGCTCAGCAATGGATGCTCTGCAGTGAATGGGTGCCGTCAGAATAAGAGTCCAAACAGCTGATAAATACATCACAATAATCCACAAGTAATCCACACCACTCCAGTCCATCAGTTAACATCTTGTGAAGACAAAAGCTGCGTGTTTGTAAGAAACTAATCCATCATTGAGGCATTTTTCTTCAACTTCAATCGAGTCCTCTATCCATAATAACACTTCCTTCAGTGAAAAACTCATCTGGTCTGAATCAGGAGAGAAATCCGCATAGATCAAGCACCGTTTACAAGCCAAAACAGCTCTAAACAAATATGTGTATGGATTTTGATGTGAGAGACAACAGGAGATGGACTGTTTTTACACTGGAGGAAGTGTTATTATGGACTCATATTTTAGCCTTGAAGCAACAGGCTAAAAAGTTAAAAACTCCTCAATCATGGATTTGTTTCTTACAACCACGCAGCTTTTGTCTTCTCAAGACGTTAACTGATGGACTGGAGTGGTGTGGATTACTTGTGGATTATTGTGATGTTTTTATCAGCTGTTTGGAC